AAAAATCATTAAAGAAGATGACTTTGTGAATGAAGAGGAGGATATTCTTCCACCACTAGAAGAAACTCTTTAAAACAAAAAAACACAAACATCACTAAAGTAAATACTAAGGTGATGGTGAGGATAACAACATTAAAGAGTTATAACAAGATCTTTTTCACCAAATGTAATAACACTTGGCCATATAGTTGATAAAAAGTGTTAACATATATAAACCATGCTTTCATTTTTCAATTTATGAGTGCTAGTGTATAATAGTATTAGTAAATACCTTTCCAAAGGGAAGTAATTCCACTCCACTTACTCCTATGGAATTATTTAACAACTTAGAGTAAATCAATTAAACATCTTGCTATTGAAAATTGAGTTGATCTTTATATATTAACTACTAAAGAATTAATAATAGTGGATTGACACCACTAATATATAATATAACAACAATACCATTCAGTTAAACACCCAAAATAGCTCAAGTTTTACTATGTTGTAGTGTTGCTATTCTATAATATGCCACCATGACACTTGAGTTAAGTGCACAAAAAGACACCAAGTTCTTTCATAAATGTAATGGTTGAAACACAAATTTTATAATTGTTTTAGTGTAAAGAGCATAAATATCAAGGAGATGTTTGATATTATTACTCTGCAGCCTAATTTATAATAGGTTAGAGTTGAAATATTTCTTTAATACATGTTTTTTGGCTAGGCCATGCTTCATCAGTAGAATTGGGAGAGTGTATAAGTAAAAGTTAGCCTTTTAAGCCACAATATAAAGATGTATTTTATAATTACACAATTCACTAGCTCCTCACTAAATGAGGCATTAATGTGGCTTTTTTAATTATTTATTACACAATACATATTGATTACACAATAGCATGATTCATTGAAAAATATATGTGTTAAATTTTTAATTGGTTATCAACTCTAATACTAATCTTGTCCATTTAACTTTTACAAGAAAGCATTACAATAATTCACACAATCTCAATAGACTTCAACCTTTCTTTCAAATACTTAAAAACTTTAGTAACCATAAACCCTAGATTGAGCAAAATTGAATGTGCTAAATGAATTTTTATACCATGCCATGAGCCATAGAAAATCCATGAAGTTGTGCAAATAATTTAAAGTGCCTTACTAGATTGAGTAGGAAAATCATACTAAGGTTGTACTTTAGTATATATAGTAAGATTTGATTAAATTAACAATGATTAAGTGCCACATGTACTACCTCAATAGACTTAGGATATGCCTGTTAAAGTGGTTCATAAGCACATCCCGTTAAACATTACTTGCTTGACTAATACCTAACTGGCTTAGTTTGGGTGTTATTTTAATAGGCTGTGACTTTTTTATTAACTCAATTTGGCTATTAGCAGCCCCCTATATCCATTAATAATAGTATGTTAAAGGAATTTCCAAGTATAGACTATTCTACCTTTTTATTTTACATGACATGCTCTCACCCATGCCTATTAAAGTTGGTCAATGGCCCAAAACTCCTACAAGTGGTACAAAGTTTAGAATTGATTAAAACATTGTAAGCCCTTAGAAAGTTGTTTAATTGAGTTCACTATTCAGATAGGATATAAAGAGGAAGAGAAAAAATTAAAATAGCTTTCATTGTTGTTAAAAAAGGATAAAACAAATATTAGATAGTATAATAGTTGAAGAGTTAAATTTCAATTGCACTCTAAAATATAGATAATTGTTGGTATTCATTATTTGCCTAAATAGGAGGTTTATTGATTGTTGTTATCAAATCTACTATTAATTTAGAGAAGAAAATATTTATATTGCATATGTTTTGTAAAAGTTATTAGTGTAAATGTAATTCCTCTCCTCAAAGATGGCTTAATTGATAATATGGTTGTTGTAGTGGAAGTAACTTTTTCACAATGTCCTAAAGTTTTTTATGAAAGAACTTTTGTATATTTGGGCAATCAATGCCCAAAATATAAAATTTATCTTGCTAGTTTAAAGTATTATGGAAGGAAAATTAACAAGATAATGGTCATCTTAGTTTTTGTTTACTACAAACCACCAAAGAAAGTAGTAGGTAGGAAATGATATTTTTTTTTCGTTACTTAGGGTTAATATGCCATTAGTAGTAGGCGGAACAGCCTTAAGAGATTTTGGAGCAATACAAAAATATTTATCAATAAACTATTCTTGATTAAAAATAATTCCAGTTAATGCTCCTTTAACAAGAATAACAATGGGAGGGTTTGGAACAAGGGCAATTTCAATAGATAAAGTAGGAGGTATATGTTTATAAGGAAAATGTTTCTTTATATTAACTAACAAAAACATTAATATTAACAAATGTAATAACAAAAGTGTTGAGAGGTAAAGTGATAGTTTTAATAAGAGTTATGGTAAAAGATATGTGTTCTCACTAAGATATTTCCTTGCAACAAGAACTATAACTACAAAAAGGCTGAGATGTTGAGTAATAATTTCAACAAGAATTGTGACAAAATGTATGTATTTGTCAATAAACATTTTTATTGCATTAATTAGCAAGAATACTAACAAAAACATTTATAATAATGGGAGGGTTAAGAGGCAAAAGAATGTTTCCAATAGAAGTTGTGGCAAAAGGTATGTATTTATGATAAAAATCTTTATTTACATTATTAGCAAGAATATTAAAAGTAACACTTATAGTAGTGAGAGGGCTAAAAGGTAGATTAGCAATTCTAGCGGGAATTATAAAACAAGATATGTGTTTATCAGTAAGATTTTTCTTTGCATTAAATAGCAAAATACTAATAGTAACACCTATAAAAATAAGAGGGTTAAAAGATAAAAAATAATAATTCCAATAGTAGTTCCAATGAGGGTTGTGGCAAAAGGTATTTAATTGTTAATAAAATTTTTATTTGCATTAATTAGCAAGAGTATTAGTGTAGCACTTGTAGCGGTGGGAGGGCTAAGAGGTGGAACAATAATTCAAATCACAAAAGTTGTGGTAAATTATATATATTTATTAGTGAGATCTTTATTTACATTAACTAGTAACAATGTTAATAATAGTATGAGCTCTCAAAACTCTAAGACTAAGCAGTGGTTGTGGCTATAGTGGAGGTAGCAATTATAGCCATAATGGAGCTATAGCTTTAGTTATAATACTGATACAACTTTTTTCATTTGGGACGTGCTTCTTGGGAGAATTTATAAAAAGCCAATATCAATGATTGAGTTTATGTGGAACTCATACATTAGATAGTCATAAAAAATATTAAATTGGTAAGCATTATCGGTGGAACTATTGTGCTTCAATAGATGGAGCTAACAAGTTATGGATGATCAACGCCACTGGAAGCACTTGGAATGGTTAATCTATTTAATAATTTTACCATGTGTTGAAATAAACAATAATGAGTGTACTTGGTAAGTTATGCTTTATTTACATTTTGGTTGTTGCAATAATCTATCCTATTCTTTTTATTTATTTAGGACTAACTATTATGTGTATCTTGGATTGTGATTTCCAAAAAATGCAAGTTATAGTTACTATGAAAGTTTGTAAGAAATATGATATTGAGACCATTATATACATTCCATCATTTTGTTATGTAAAAAATCATATTTTTTCTTTTATACATAACATTTAAGTACTAATTTGATGTTATGTGGATGGGAGAAATGTGTTAAGCCACCGGTATGCCGAAATAGCGCTAGGTTTCGTTTAACTCTGTTTTGCGTATTAGTCCTGGCATTAGGATGCTGGTTGTTCTAGGATTGTTTTAAGTCACTCCAGGCTCCTGTCCCTTCACTCATTGGGTTGTATGCTTGGAAGTTGCTCTGTGGTCCAGTTCAATCACTCCTTGGCTTCATGCTTAAAAGTTTGGCACCATTCCTTCATTTAGTGGCTCAAGGCTCTGAACCTTGAATTCTATACTACTGTCCTATGGACATGTGGCATGTAACATGTGGCACATGGAAGGTTTAGGTTCCACTTCATGGTGTTATCCTATAGTAAATCACCATAGGATAAAGGGTAAAACCATGTGTGTTATAATCCTTATAATCATAGACTAAATCAAATTTATAATAAAGACATCACTATAGTGGTTGGAAATAAATGTATTTGTGAGGATTCATATTATGATAATTTCATGAGCTTCTAAGACATCAACAACTTATCAAGGAAGTATGCAACTTTATCTAGCAATTAGTGTTATCCAAATTATGCTCAAAGTGTTTGTATTTAGAAGTTTGTTAATTAAAAAAAGTGTTTCTACCAAGAAGGAGCTGGCATCCAACTTAAACTTGGTGATATAAAAAATGATTGAACATGTTTTTAATAGTTTGGATGCTACTTTTGAAGTCAATTGCTATAAGATATAGTTGCAGTGATTCATAACTAATTTAGTATTTCTAATGTGGGTGGGAGGTGTGGGAGTTATGGGCGAAGGTGGGAGAACATGGCACAAATTTACAGAAAAGGGTAAAAAACTAAAAGGGAGGGGCACTGCCAAGTCACTTTTGGAACAATATGTTGTTTAATGGGAATTCTGATGTACTAGCCTAACCTCAGCCACTTTATCTTCCCCCCATGCCACATTTTCTTGTATTCTTTATCACATAGGCTTTGACTCAAGATAATTGACAATTTACCTTGGTTGTGCCTAACAAATTAATTGCATATACCAAGTGTGTATACCAAGAGAAATTGTTCTTGTTCTTGGTTGAGAAAAATTTGCTAGTTTAGGCTAGTTCCCTGGAACAAATTTATTTAATCTATAATACTATACCCTAGTTGCTTACAATCCTCTTCAATGAAGAAGAAGTTTATCAATCTCTCTCTTATAGAAAAAAGCTCTGAGTAACATATGATTGCTACACTGGGCTGGAGGAAATTGGTGGGATGCATTAGTTTGACCTTGCCGTCCTAGCTCAGCTGGCAGAGCACGTGGCTTTTAATCACATGGTCGTGGGTTCGAACCCCACGGACGGTAACATCCTCTGTTTTAGGGTTTTTATTTTAGGTCTCCTTTCATGGACGACATTCTCGTCCTCGACAACGGCGGGGGTTTTGTCAAGGCGGGTATCGTCGGCACGCATGATGATCCAATCGTCGTCCCCAACTGCCTAGCTCGCCCACGCGGCTCCAAGAAATGGATAATCGCCGATCAGCTGGAGAAATGCGACGAGATTCAAGGTATTTCTCTCCGCCGTCCCTTCGATCGCGGCTATCTCGTCCACTGCGATGCCGAGAAGGAGGTCTGGGACCGTGTCTTCAAGGCGCTCGTCAAGATTCGCCCGCCGGAGACGGCATTGTTCCTCGTCGAGCCCCCTTTCACTCTGAGCGCCATCCGCAAGAACACCGACGAGCTCGTGTTTGAGGAGTTTGGATTCCAGAGCCTCTTCGTCTCTCACGCCGCGCCGCTGGTCCACTTATACGAAGCAAATCGGAGGCCCAAGAGCAGGCTGGCTCTCGGGAATTGCAGCTTGGTGGTGGATTGCGGATTCTCCTTCACGCACGCCGTGCCAATCGTGCAAGGATTTCCAGTCTACCATGGCATCAAGAGGATCAATCTCGGCGGCAAAGCTCTCACGAATTATCTCAAGGAGCTCGTTTCCTACAGGGCCTGGAATGTCATGGACGAGACTTATATCATGGAGGATGTGAAGCATTCACTGTGCTTTTGCTCCAAGAATGTTCTTGGCGACCTCGACGTGGCAAGGTGGTGTTCTCGATGTAAAGCTTTTCCTCTCGTTTTTACACAGTGGTGGATTCAGGAAGAAGGGACGGGAGAACTATATCCGCTGCCAGTACGTTCTTCCGGATGGTGTCAAGAACAAACGTGGATTTGTCAAGGATCCCGCTGCCGCTGCCGCTTATTTTTCCAAGCAAGGTGGAGAGCAACAGGGAGAAGAGAAAGAAGAGGCCCAAGCTCCGATGGATGTTGATGCCGCTGTGGACGAGGCTGCGGAAGCTTCAGATCCAAATCGACGAAATGCTATTCCTGTTGCTGATGATCAGGTAACTTGGAACTTTCTTTCATTTGTTCTTTGACTATCTCTGGATGAATTGGACAGGAACTTACACTGACCAACGAGCGATTCATGGTGCCCGAGATGTTGTTCCAGCCCGCAGATCTTGGTATGGCCGTGAACTTTTCAGTTTTTTAGTGAAAAGCTGACACATCACTGCTGCTTAATTGAAGGCATGGAGGAAGCTGGGCTTTCCGAATGCATCGTCCGAGCTATCAACTCTTGCCACCCGGATCTTCATCCTTTGCTCTACTCCAAGTACATTTCTTTACGCTTTGAAGTGCTGTTTAACCGAGTTTTTTACAGCATCATACTGACTGGAGGATGCGTCCAGTTCCCATTTTTCAAGGAGAAACTGTAAGGATCTCAAAGTTTCTGCTTTGAGACTTTCACGAACTTCCCTGTTCTTCCATTTTGTGACACAGGGAAAGCGAGCTCAGACCTTTGGTACCTGATGAATACAACCTCAATATCCAACTCACAGACAGGTTAGCTTCAAATGAAAAAAAGGATTAAGGGGGATTTACTCTGCCTCTGTTTTTACTTGCTTGTGTAGCCCGATCAAAGCTCCATGGTATGGAGGAGCCCTGCTAGCTTCTAGTCCTGAGTTTCAAGGCTGCTCGGTGACAAAGAAACAGTACGAAGAGGAGGGCTCTCACAGGTGTCGGTGGAGATTCTTGCAGTGAGTGGATCGCTCCAACTCCGTGAAAAGCTCTACGGTGTTTTCAAGGCTGCCGAATCGGTAGGACAAGGAAAGAAAGATCATCTCAGAGGTAAGAAAATTTTGCAGTGAAAATCCAACATAAATTATGCAAAGTTAGTCTCTAACCAAGCACGATTCGTAGAAGATCGGGCGGGCATGCCAGCCTTCGGCTACTGTGAGCACCATTATTACATCGTCCGTGATGTCTAGCTCCTCGGAAACCTCTGAAAGAAAACCACAAGGTTAGAAACAAAAGGAAATTTTCTAAAGTTTTGTGAGGGGCGCATACCTTTGTACTGGGCCTGGAGAAGCTTTGCAGTGGTCGTCGTCTCGCACCACACATGAAGAACACACTGGGAGAAGCTGTGCCTGTCCGTCACTCCATGCCTCGCCACAACCTGTGCGGGATGAGATTTAGCAAAGTTCCAAGAGTAGAAAAATTTCGCTCTTACCAGTCCAAAGAGTTTCTTGTAGAGCAGCCTGTAAGCCATCTGCGGGGAGAAGTCTTCTGGATTCGGGTAAGACATCGCCCTGGTGACCGAAACTCCGACTCTCTGGCCATACAGGTTGCAAATGTAATCCACCTTCTTCCAGTTCATGGCGCAGTACTCCACCTCCATCTCCGTCACCACGTCCGTGGCTTTGAACTTCCTCACGAAATACTCCACCGAGAGGGACTGCATGCACGAGGAGTCCATCGCCAGAAACCACTATAAAACAGAAAATATGATAACATATATTCTTGTACTTACCTCAGAGATGGTAGAAGTTCCCCCGGCATTGCTTTCAGTGGCCACGCGCATGGCATCTCGTCCCAGCCCGAATTTCACGAAGGACGAGAACGCCTCAAACCTTCCAACGAAAACTTGCCTGCGCTTGGCATCTCCCACAGCAGTAGTAGCAGTAGCAGTAGCAGCAGCAGCAGCAACTCGTGCTACTTCTGTTACTTCCGGCGATGTCTCGAACAAATCCGCCGCGGAAGATGCCTCGTCGAAGCTTGGAGGGGTAGAGGGTCTCCTGTGCTCCGCAAGAGCTAGCGTGAGCAGCAGATTCTCCTTCAGCGGCGAGATGACGACGAAGTCCTTGTTGAGCATGAGATAGACAGGGGGCAAGTAGCCGGATGGTGGTGGTGGTGGCGCGGACGGGGCCCCCTTCCCAGCATCTCGGCTCGCAAAACCATTCGGCTCCTCCGGCGATGATGGATTGGAAGAGTTGTCAAAGGCAGCTTGGCGACACCTCTTTTGCTGCTGCTGCTGGTGCGAAGAAGGCATGAGAATGGGAGGCAGCCGCATCCATCCTTTGCCACTGCTACCACCACTCTCAATTCCAAGTCTCCTCCCTGCTAGCGAGAATCCATCTCCTCCATTTCTTTCATCTTCTCCTCCCAGCTGTTGGTGGCTTTGCTGAGTGGGACCTTTGGTGCCTAGAATATCCTCGCGCTCATCCGCGATGCGAGTAGCCAGGGAATTACGCTCTAAAACGCCGCTAAACCTCTCTTGTTGCCGCGGAGCGAGCGATGGCCACTGCGAGTCACCGAGACTAAACCTGGACGTGGATCTCCCGAAATTTCCCTGCCAGGGGCACGATTCTGCCGCCCAGGAGCACGATTTCTCCCGGAATTCGCAAGCCCCGGGGAGCGACGGCCACGCCGTGTAATCCTCGCGCTCCAGGGGATTCCTCTGCCCGATGGCCGGAAATCCATGGATTTCGAGGCCGTTTCGAGCGTTGTCTCCATGGCCGCGGCCTACCTCGTCATCCTGGAGCTCGCTGAACAAGCCGGCGGCATCCAAGAACGGAGGAATTCGAGTTCCGGGTTGTGGAAACCCGTCCCTGGACATTTACCGTGGATTTGTTGTTGGTGTTCTTGGTGTTCTTCATCGCGCTGTGCTGTTCTTCGCTGCCTCGAGAGCGCCCTAGTGAAATCTAGCCCTCCTAGAACATGGCGCCTTCTCCTTCCCACTACTACTCTGAAAGCCTATTTTTCCTACCTTGGAGTTTTCCCTCCGGTGGAAGAAAGCAGCCCTCCACCGTTGGATGGCGAAAGGGCGCCGGTGAACCGACGGCATCGCGCGGGAGAATCTAACGGCGCTGGTCAAGAAAGATTTTGCCCCGTTAAACGTGGATACTCGAATATTCTATCTTCGCATTTGTTGTTAGGGTTCTTCCGATGAGCGCATCGGTGTAGCGCAAAACTCCAGCGATCGGCTGCGGGCTGTAGAGAGATGTCCTACTGTTCTCTGTGGTTCGATGGCGCATCCAGAGGCAACGGCACGGGATCGACCGTGGCGGGCTATGGATTCGTGCTGCAAGATCCTCGCGGCGCGCCTCTCGTCCAGGCGTCCGAGTTCCTGGGATATGATTTTACCAACAATCAGGCCGAGTACAAGGCGCTCATTGCTGGGCTACGCAAGGCGAGGGCCATAAACATCAAGAACATCTACATCCGGGGCGATTCCGAGCTCGTCGTCTATCAGGTATTCCGGTTCTATCTTTTGGTCCTCACTAGTATCTAGTCATCGCGCTTCTAGTGCTTGATCAGTGATCTAGAAGTTCTAGTAGTTGAGCAGTCATCTCGAAGTTCTAGTGCTTGAGCAGCGATCGAGAAGTTCTAGTGCGCCAATCCATGCATGGTATTCTTTTCCTTTGCTTTTTTGGGAGGAGAGAAAAATTGATCACACTGTCAGTCCCTCACACTTTGGAAAGAGGTAAAGGTACTGGAAGCATTGATCACACACGCTTCCCATCCCTTCACTTGTCGGTTCTAATTTTTCGTTTTCTATAGCCATTCCATCTCGCTCACTACTCCAATCATCATCGATCTATCGAAAGTGAGCTTGAAGATCACGATCACAGCTCTGACGTTTATAAGTTTTCCAGGTTCGAGGAATTTACAAAGCCAGGAACCCGACGCTGCGCCGCTACTTGTCCGAGGTGATGGATCTACTCGACTGCTTCGACATCTATGCCACCGATCACGTCCGCCGCGAACAAAACCAGCTCGCCGACGCGCTCGCGATCGACGGCCTCCGCAAGATCTACGACGATTACTGCTATGGCTACCGGGCGATCCTCCAGTGCTGCTACTACGATGCCGGGGCATGGAAGTACCTCCTCAACCAGCGAGTCCGGGGCTACTGGAGGATGAAGTACATGCTCTCGGTGATCCAGGAAGAGTTTCCGGATGTTTATGACGTGATCGAGGGCTGGTGCTATGGTCTCGGCATCCACGACCAGGACGATGACATTGCCCACATCTTGGCGCTCTACTAGCTAGAATATCCTTGGTTTGAAAACAAGCGGGAATTTATGTACGGTGTTGTTCTGTATTGTTTAGGGTTTAACGGGCGCCGTTTAAAGATTATCCCGTTTACTCGAATATTCGTTTTTTGCATTTCTTGTTAGGGTTCTTTCATTGAGGGGAAGATTTCCACACAAACTCTAGCGATCCGTAGAGCGAATGTCATATTCTCAGCGGAAATGGCATGTGATTGACCGAGGCTGGCTATGGGTCCGTGCTGCAAGATCCTTGCGGCGTGCATCTCTTCCAGGCGTCCGATTCAATTTCACCAATAATCAGGCGGACTACAAGGCGCTCATCGCTGGGCTGCGCAAGGCGAGGGCCATAAACATCAAGAACATCGACATTCGTGGCGACTCCGAGCTCGTCGTTAATCAGATATTTCTTTCTCTTTTCTCCGGGTTTTTCCTTTAGATCTCCAGATGACGTTTACACGTTTTCCAGGTTCGCAGAATTTTTCAAGCCAGGGACCCAACTCTACGCCGGTACTGGTCCGATGTGATGGATCTCCTGGGTTGCTTCACCATCAATCACGTCCGCCGCGACCAAAACCGGCTCGCCGACTCGCTCGCTGGCAAGGGCCTCTGCAAGATCTACGCTGATTACTGCTATGGCGACCGGGCGATCCTCCAGTGCTGCTACTACTTCACTGGCGCAATGAAGTACCTACTCAACCAGCGCATCCGGGCTACTGGAGGATGAGCTACATGCGCTCGGTGATCCAGGACAAGTTCCCGGATGTGTTTGACGTGGTGCTATGATCTTGGCGCTCTACTAGCTGAAATATCGCATATCCGTCTTGTTTTAAAAACTGGCGGGAATTTATGTACGGTACGGTTACGTACGGTATGAGGTGTAAATTAGGGTTTATGGGGCATTGGAAATTTAGGGCTTTGTAGATTAGCGAGAGAAGCGATGGCGTCGTCGTCGTCCAGCGCCGAGGAGGAGCTCGCGATGGTGGAGCGATTTCTCACTCGCCTGGTGTTCACCGAGGATGCGCAGCTGGAGAAGGTGTTGTCTAAGCTCCTCCCCTACGCGATCTCGCTCATGTCGTCGAGCAGCAATGCCACCAGAGTCAAGGTAGGATCTTTTTTTGAGGGAAAATGCGATCGTGATTGGGAGATTGAGATTACAGGTGACTGAAATGCTGAGCCACATCAATAAGCGTGTCAAGGAGCAACGTTCTATCAAGTTGCCGCTTGCAGAGCTGCTCGGTGTCTACAGGCGGCCCGATGCGGCGGTGATCGTGAAGAACTTCTCGCTGGTTTACATTGAGATGGCATTTGATCGATCCACCTCTGAAGTAAGCGTTTTCTTCTCCATCGTTCTTTGGTAATCCGGCTTAAACTTTTAGGAACAAATAGCCATTGTTCCTGAGATGCTCACTGGGCTCGCATCTTTTCCTCCGTTGCATAGGGATATTTTCTTAAGGACTACTGCCAAGGTCTGGGATTCAATTCATTCGCACTGAAAGATAGAAGACTTTGAACAGGCTTTAGAGAAGGTTTCTTCAGATCGAGTCTTTGAGGATGTAGCAACGAAGCTGAAGGCTTGTCTTTCGTCCCAAGACTACCCGATCTTGTTCGAATTTATTTCCCAAACCTTGTTATATCAAGTTCCATCGGCTTCTCAAGAAGGGTATTTACAAACGCTTCTTTTCGTGATTGCTTTATAACTTTATTTTCTGATCTAGAGTTCCACCACCAGGTCTTTCGTTGGCGCAGGTGGCTCGTGTGTGTGGTAAAACGCCGATCCAAAGCGAGCACCTTGTTCCTCGAAAGGTAGTTGTGTTCATGAAGTTCTTTCTATAATTGTTTTGGTCGCAATAGATGGGTTTCCTCAATCTAATTGCGAAGATGGAAGTTGCGCCCCAAGATGTTTATTTTACTCTACTTGTTGCTTCCTCAGACAGGTATGATTTGTGATGACAACATTTTAAGCCCTATCTTTTGCTTGCAGAAACGATTTGGTTGCAAAGCGAGGTGAGGAGCTGCTGAAGAAGAAGGCATCCGGTGTTAACATGGAGGATAAAACGTTTGTGAAGAGTCTGTTCACGATTTTTCTCGGTGAGTATCTATTACGTTGCATTCTTCTTTTTATTTCTCTGATTGCATGCCGCTTTTCAGGCACCCCCGCTAACGATCGAGTACCTGCTGATGGAAAAGTTAGCGCTGCTAGTCCGATACTGAAGGCTAAGATCATGAGCGCGCTTACCCATTCTGTTGCAGCAGCAAATATCTTCCCGATGACTCTGCAATGCATTTTCGACTGTTTCAATGGTACGACAATAAGCACCCAGGCATGTAAAGATGTCTAACAGTTTTTTGCAGGACAAGCCACGACCAAAAAACTGAAACAAGCAGGGATGGAGTTCACCGTGTGGGTTTTTAAGCATGTACGTGTTTTACTTCTAACATGTGTAATGCTCAAGCCTGTATTTTCTTATGCAGGCCTCTAGCGACCAACTTAAGTTGATGGCTCCCCTCATTCTTAGTCACTTCATCAAGTTTCTTGATGAAAAGGAAATAGGTGCGTTGCTTTAAATTATGGTCGATCACCCTATCTGTTTCTGCAGACCCGGCCATGTACCCTATGAGAGTGTTTGGATATCAAGCTGTTGGTCAGCTCGCACAACGCGCACCTCATCTCTTTCGGTCTGTTGCTGTTGAATTTACTTGTGGTTTTTACTTCCTGTTTAACAGGAGCAATTCTGACATGGCAAAGCGTCTTTTTCGTGCGCTGCAAGTGGAAGACGCATCAATGCGTGTCACCCTGCAGGAGGCGGTAAATGCATTAGCTATGGCCTATAAGGTTTGTGATTCCGTTCCACTCCAGACCCAGTCGTTTATTGTGCTTTACAGGACTGCCCGCCAACAGTAGAAAAGGACATCGAAGATTTGTTATTGGAAAACATAAATTCTGTGAGACTTACAGTTTTAGTCTCCGACAGTGTTGACACCTGATGTATAGGTTCAAGGGGAAGTTCGGTTTTGTGTCATTTTCTGGGCAACACGATTATATAAATCAAGTCACGTTCCAAGTCGCTACCTCTGTATGTGTGGAGCTGGCGACTCGAAACTTGATATAAGGTAATTCATTATTTTCCACAATACCAAGTTCACAGCTGACGAAATGTTATACATACAGGGAGTTGAGCTCAGAGGGGTTGCAAATCACAAAGGGCTCTGTCAGCAGCAACGCTAACACATACCCGCCGCTGAAAGAACTGATGTCCTTCATCTGCGAAAAGCAGCCTGGCATTATGAAGCCGTCTGTTGTCGGGGAACGCAATCTTCTTTTTCCTCCAAAGGTCTACGTTGCAATGGTATCTTATCTTATGAAGTGCTACGAGCTTAGAACTCAAGAGGAAGAAGAAATCGTGTCTTTGCGTTTGCTGTTGGAACATGGAATGGCATATGAAGGGGTGGCCGAACTTCATGCTTTGTGCTCTGCCGGACTTCTCACTCTTGCTTCGGAACAACCTACTGTGAGTTCCAAGTTTTTACTACGGTTTCTATTGACATTATGTTTTGCAGAAATTCGCACAACTTTATGCTGAACGTATTGACTGGCTAAAACAGTTTCTGGGAAACATTGATGTGAATACTCGTGAGTCTATCAGTCGACTATTGGGAATCGTGATCGGTGGATTAGATCCTCTGCAAGCTTCGGATTTGCTGAAAAGTTTTGTCGAGGGAACCACAAAAAATCGGTATTTTCTCCCCTTCCATACAAGTGTGAAAACTAAGCACTGATCAGCAGGTTCGAAAATGCACATGGTTCTATATGTTCAGCAGGCTATGCATTGGCTCAATGTAGGACTGGAGTTCCTTCTGTAAGTAATCGATGTAGGTGGGAAATAGCCTTAACGACCGTCTTTCTACTATTCAAGGTTTCCGAAGACGTGCAGCAAAATACGACCAGAGTTCTCATTCGACTTCTTGGGTCTGAGAAGTTTCAACTAGGAGGATTTGCCGCAGAAGCGTTGGGCCATGCTGGTCTGCGTGCTCCACTGGCAGTTCCTCTTGGAGACTTAAGTAAAGAAGAAGAAGTACAAGAAGGAAACGAAACTTTAGCGACCGTTTTCGCTCACTTCAAAAAGCTTCTTCTGTCTCAAGAAGCTAAAGTTGTCCAGAGAACTGTGATCGCTATTGGACACCTATGTTTTGGTAATCCTCTACCTGAGCTTCTTGATCTTGCAGTTGAAATGCTCTTCCAGCTGAAGAGGTCCAAGGTTGGTACTTTTCTTACATCTAGATTTTAGAGTCTCGTGACACTTTGTTTTGTAGGTTGAAGACGTTCTTATTTCAGTGGGCGAAGCGATGGCCTTCATCTGGGGTGTTATTCCCGTCGACGTAGATACAATTCTGCGATCAAATTTTGTGTCGTTGTCACACTCGACCAATTTTTTCAGCGACGACCCTGCGTCTGTCGAGGACCGTAGTGCAAAGGCTGTGGATATTGACGACCAACGCAAAACTTCTAGAGACAAGATTCTCAAGGTGCTGCTTGATGAGCTCATATTCAGTAGCAGAAAGGAGGAGCGTTGTGCTGGATCGGTCTGGCTACTGTCTCTTGTAATCTACTGTGGACGTCATCTGCAAATTCAGGCTTTGCTTCCAAAAATTCAGGTTTTTCTTTTTTATTTATATTTGTGCACCTTTTTCTTACAATGCTTCACGTTTGTAGGAGGCATTTTCTTATTTACTGGGAGAGCAAAACGAGCTTACTCAAGAAATGGCATCACGTGGTATGAGTGTTGTTTATGAACTCGGGGACGCTGCTACGCGGGAGGAGCTTGTGAAGGCGCTTGTGGGGACTCTTTCCGGCACAGCAAAGAAGAAAAGACCAATCAAGGTTCTGTCGTTTATTGACGAGGGCCTTCATTCTTACGCTGTGTTTCTCTTCTTGTAGTTGATGGAGGATACAGAGGTTTTTGCAGAGGGAAGTATTGGTGAAGCTCCAGGTGGTGGAAATATTAGTACGTACAAAGAGCTTTGCAACCTGGCGAACGAGATGGGGCAACCAGATCTCGTGTACAAGTTTATGGACCTTGCAAACTATCAGGCTTCGTTAAACTCAAGACGGGGAGCAGCTTTTGGATTCGCAAAAATTGCCAAACGTGCTGGTGATGCCTTGGAGCCGCATTTGCGTGGACTCGTGCCTAAACTCTTTCGCTATCAACATGATCCGAACAAAAATATTCAGGTACACCCGTAAATATTCTGAAAGTCACTCCTTTTCTCATTTAACTGTAGGATGCAATGGGACACATTTGGAGGTCTCTTGTGGCCGAGCCAAAGAAAACGATCGACATGTTTTATGTCGATATAATGGAAGACCTCTTACTGAACGCAGGTTCGAGGTTATGGCGATCGCGAGAAGCAGCATGTGCGGCGTTGGCAGATCTAATACAAGGTCGCAAGTTCCCAGAGGTACGAGAGACTAGTGTTTCTGCGTTGTGAGAACTTAATAATTTCTGATCAGGTTGAAAACTATCTGTTGAAAATGTGGACAATGGCTTTCCGAGCGATGGATGACATCAAAGAAACTGTCAGAAGTGCTGGAGGAATTCTATGCCGGGCTCTCAGCTCATTAACTTTGAGACTTTGTGACACCTCTCTTACAGCTGACTCTGAAGCGCGTGCAGCAATGGGCATTGTGCTACCTCTTTTACTTTCCAGTGGCATCTCGAGCTCAGTAGCCGAAATACAACTGCTCTCTACCAACTTGGTGATGAAACTTGTAAAGGTGAGTGATAACTGTTTCTACTGATCGCTGTAAAAACGTTATTTCAGAATGCGGGACAAGCTATAAGGCCTCAGTTGCCTAACCTGGTGATTTGTATGCTGGAAAGTCTTTCGAGTCTTGAGGACCAGCGCTTAAACTACGCTGAAGTAAGAGTTTGTTTTTCTTTTTTCACGTCCTTCTTCCGGATCTCTATGGACGTAGATGCATGCAGAAAGACTGGGCATAAGTACAGATAAACTTGACAGCGCGAGGTTCTCTCTCGCAAAAGACTCTCCAATGTGGGACACACTGGACTTTTGCCTGCGTCAGATAGATGAAGAAACTCTTGAATCTCTTGTTCCGCGTTTGGTTCAATTGGTACGGTCCGGCGTGGGGCTAAATACAAGGTATGCATATTGTTTCCTAAAAGTTGATGTCATCTGTGTTTATCATGAAAATGCCAGGGCTGGTGTCGCAAGGTTTATTGCTTTATTGTCACAGCAAGTAGGCTCCGATTTGAGGCAGTATGCCGGACCCATTATGAAGGTTTTGATCCCTACAGTGATATCAGAGAAAAGCACAGCCGCAAAGAAAGCCTTTGCAGCTGCGTGCGCAGCAGTAATGAAGGTTTCCGGCGATCGTTTGTTGGAACAACATATAGCTGATATTGTTGGTTTTTACAAATCCGGAGACAAGGACTCCAGAATTGCCAGCGGACTTTTGCTTAAGGAGCTCTCTCGTCAAGCCAGTGACGGGCTCAAGCAACAAGCTACACTTGTTCTTCCTGTGGCCTTTATCGGGAGGTTTGTTATTTGTGATACTTGTGTTGGATAAGCGTTTTTTGTTTTTCAGATTTGACGAAGAGAAGTCAGTGAGATCCGATTTCGAGGAGGTCTGGGAGGAAAATACCAGTAGCCAGACCGTAGCACTTCAACTGTACATGCTCGAAATTATGCCACTTCTTCTCGATGGCCTTGCAACGTCATCTTGGACTCGAAAGCAGCAGGTACTACCTTAATGAAACGCCTATGATAAATCTTGTTGTGCGTTCAGAGTGCAAAAGCTGTTATCAAAGCCGTGGAGGTTACTGGAGAATCAGCAGAGCCATTCGCTCAGCAACTTATGAAGAGTCTTCTCAATGAGCTGCGTGGTCGCACTTGGGAGGTAGTACTAAGTTTCCTTACGTTTATTTCATCTTCGTTCAACAGGGAAAAGAATGCATTTTTGAGGCGATCTCTGCACTTTGTAAAGGCTGTCCTAAGGGCTTCACAAACATGTCCGAACAAGCGGACTTCATTAGTCCCAGTACAGTGGTTGAGACTGTGATCGCCTCATTTTCTCGGAAAAAGAGCTCTTTTCGCGCTGCGGGATACTCCTGCTTGGAAAAGGTATCTTTCCTCTTTCTCTGCACGGAAAAGCTCACGGTTTTTGTGTCGTCATGCTTCTAGGTTGTAGAGGCTTTTAGTGACTGTGATCTGTTCAAACTGGTTGCTTCAGCTGTTCTCGACGAGCTGGCCGCTAAGGACACTGCTGACTCGGAGAAATCAGCGGGTATCTTCATATTTTGTTTCTGCTCTCCTGTTTAACGGTGTGTTTCTTACTGTCTCAGATGAACCGAGAAAAGGATCAACGCATTTTGAACAAGCTTTTTCTTGCCTCACTGCCAGCCTAAAGTCCAGTGCCGATTCCACCGTACTAGAATACGCGGGGAGAGTTATCGCGTCTTTGCTAACAGGCATGAACAGCAGCTCTTGGCAAGGTAAACATTTCGTGGCTTTTTTGTCTCCTGTGTGATGTTTTTGTGTTCCAATGCCTTAGTGAGGCTAGCGGCGCTTCACTCCACTCAAGCCTTCGCAGAGAAGTGTCCTGGGGGAGTTGCGGATGAACAGGTATGTATTGAGCACAAAAGCTTACAGTGACCATTTGAAGCATTGGTTTTACTGTTTGCAGTCCCAGGAGAAACTTATTCCACCTATCTTGGACTGCGTATCCAACGTCAAGGTCTCTCAGGTGATAAAAATGTGAAATTTTTTTTGGCGTTGTCTTACAAGTTCTGTTTTTTTTCTTTGTTGGTTTCTTCCATTGCCAGGTTCATATCTCGGCCTTGGAGTGCTTGAAAGCAACGCTGCGAGCAATCCTCTCGGTGTCAAGCTTGGGACCCGACACGGCCCAGAAGCTCGAAGCGCGATTGAGAGAGTTCCTCAGCGTCGAGAAGAGCGTCAATGGACGCTCGCTAATCTCCGACATGATTGGCCTTCTCATGGCCAATTCGTCGCAATCCATGCCAGTGGACTGAAAGGATTAAAATTCGAGATTTTACCAGTACGGCCAGGGGTTTTTACCAAGTACGGAGCTCTGTAATATACAAGCGTTATTTAACCCGCCAGTAAGTTGGCAGCTATGACATGCATGTCCATCATAAATGCATTGGCTTAAAACGCATGTGCTGGCGTGCCCCACATGCATGGGTCCATGTCTTCACATGCATGGGGGCCATTTCTAAAGTAAGTACCCATCATCATCATGCATGCCAGGCCATGGCATGACATGACATGACATGACATGGCCACGTAGGCGGCCATAGTGCTTGGTTTTATTTTTTTTCTCTTGTTTGAAGGGAAAATGGCGAGGGAGGAGCGCCGAGAGAGATGAGAGGATTGCGCCGCGGCTATGGCGTGTGAGTAGCAAGGGCAGCGCGGCGCGGCACAATCTTTGCTCTCCTCTCCTTTTTCTCGAGCGGGCGAGCGGCATCGCGCGCCAGCGCCTTTGTGTGACGAGAGGAAAGAATCCAGTGCTCGATCGGCCAGCGGCGCGGCACAGCAGAGGCACAGCGGCGCAGCGAAGCGATTTGGCGTGAGCAACGAAATATTTCGGTGCTAGGTCTTGGGATTTCTTCCTCGTCCCCTTGGATCGGCCAGGATTGGCGCTCGCATTGTGGATTTTAGGGCTTGCGCAGGGCCGGGGCTGATGCTGCTAGCTCCATGAGTCGCGGTAATCATATGCTACTGCTGCTGCCCACGCTAGGTTCGCTCTCCATGCGCATGTGTGCGTGAATTCGCCGAGCACACCAAATGCGAGCGCTCGAGGTCACAGGTTAGCTTCACCGGAGGTCTTTTGCTCTACTTGTTCTTCGAGGAGGTTTGAGGCGGTGGAAAAGAGGCATGGATTCCCAATGAAGATGGCCTCGGCGATGCAAATGCCAATCATGGGTCCTTCCGCGGGGATTAGAACTCCAGTGACAGTAACTCCTTGCGGCCAACCTCTCAACACCGCCAACCATTCCAACACCACTCCAGCGGGAATTCTCTCCTCCGGTGGCGTTGGGATGTCCAATCTCACTTTGGGACTTCCACCGTCTTCCACTTTGCCGGGAGGAGGTTTCGGGGCTCCGGCGAACGGGCTGGGGGAGACTGGGCTCATGAGAGTGAAGCTGGCGGACATGCTTCCGGAAGAAGGGGAGCCATCTCCGGTCTATCTCAAGGCAGTGGATGCAGTCTCCACGTCGCTCGCCAGGGCCAATGCAGTGATTATCGAGCTCAGCTCCGAGGATGCCAAGCTCGTGAGGTGTGCTCTTCAATCGGCCAAGCTCTATCTTAGGAACTGTGTACATACGACCACCACCACCCATGCATGGGGCTCCTCGGATTGGAACAAGAGTACTGCTTGCCGGGATTCATTCGTCTACAAAGCCGGAAGGTCTGTATAGGACTTCTTCTTTCGTTGGTCTCATTCTCACGTTTCTCTCTTCTACATATAAGGTCTGAGGAGGCTGATCCTCCGCCTCCTTGCATGCCGGATGTTTTCAGATGCATGGGTAAGGCATCGCGAGCATCTCTGAGTGTTATTGCTCGCTATCTTCGTCTTCGTGGAGAGTAAGTTCAATAAAAAACTCTGATTTTTTTCAGTGGTTTCTTACCTTTCTTATCCAGCGTCTTCTTTCCGCTACTAGACGACTCACCTTTGCCACCAGGCGATGTATCATCTTCCGATCTGACGGCAAGTCTACACCATAGTTCTCCTGGTGCTTGTGGAAAGGGATCACTGGCAGCGGGCGATAACTTGCAGGAGGTAGAGAAAGGACTTTTGATGCTCATTGCATCCGATGCACCAGGATTGCTTGTAAGTCTTGGAGCTACGAGTCATGGGATTACGAAATAATATCATTGTTTGGACAGGTGAATGATTCTAATGGACACTGGTACACAGCAGACAGTGCTCTCTCTCCTGGAGACCTCTTGCTACTTGCTGGAAGAGCTCTTCATCAAGCGACTGCTGGTTTACGTCGTCCTTCGCCTTATAAGATGGGAATGCCAGCGCTATCGCCGGTTCCTGGAGCAACAAGGTAACGTCTTTATCTTACGGGACCACTGACAAGGTGACCGTATGAAACTGGCAGGACTTCCTTAGCGTTTAGATTAATGCCGCGTCACAATGCAACCTTCGACATTGCAGCTGCGTTGAAGAGCGCTGGTCACTGTGTTCCTGAAGGATATGGGGCCATTACCGTGGCGCAGTTCATGGATGGCTTATCGGCTGCAGAAACGTTGATGGTTAACAGTGGAGATAGTAGCCTGGTACGTGACTGAACTGTGGTGCTTTTCAACTAGGACTTATGGTTATGTGCATGCAGGAGGGACATGAAGATAGTTCGCTTAAACTAGCACTTTCCGATCCACTCTCGTATGTATTCATCTGCCTTTCTTTCTCTCGCCTTATAGCTGTCCTTCAGGGGTCAATATCTCGAGGATGCCATGCTGAATCCCAAGTGTGGCCATTCATTTGGTTGCGTCACTCTCCAAAGAACGAGGGAATCGGTAATGGCCTCGTCAAATTCAAAGTTTGCTTTCGTAATGCGTGACGAGCTACTTTCAGGGCACTTGTCCATCGTGTTCCGCAGCTATCGACAGCCAGCACTTGATTCCAAACATCGGTAAGGCATTCTAACATCGAGACGTTAAAAACTGGTGTAATGTTATTCTTTGTGTTTCCAGCGCTCAGGGCGGCAGCTGCTGCATTTAGGCGGGAGGAACAAAACAGAATACAGTCAAGGGCCAAGCGTCGGAAAGAGAATGGACATGGAGAGACGGACGTGAGACGACGGGTAGCATTATTTCCATTTTTTCCTTTCAGAATCTCATTGTTCCTAGTCAAGCAGGAAAACATTGGTTCTCCAACCGAGAAGGAGAGCGGGAAAGTCACAAAAGGTGTCCAGTACCCTTTCAAAGTAAACGAAAGAGTCAAGATCAAGGTGAGATGGTTGTTTGTGTGTCAGAGATTTTTGCGATATAATATTTTCTGTGCAGGGAAACAAACGGACTCCAGAGAAATTCGTTGGTCGAGAAGCGATCATAACCTCGCAATGTCTAAATGGCTGGTAAGCCTCTTCTCGCCTTGTTAGTTAAGATGGATTCTTCTTTTTTTTGTGCAGGTATTTAGTTAGGACTTTGGACAGCAACGAGAGCGTACGCTTGCAATATAGATCACTGCAAGCTAGTGGTGATAACACCATCACGACCAACCCCACCCCTATTACCACCACCAGCAACGCCAGTACTGAAGAACAGGCTCAACATTCTTGATAAGTTTGGGCCACCTGTAACATTTTAAACTTCAACAATTTTGTTCACTCAGATTATAATATCTTTACCATGACCAGACTTTAAATAATTAGTTAACCTTGTGTATTTTAAATACTATGATAAAGAAATTGATAGGATCATTTTGTTTGACACGAGAGTTTCGGAATGGATTGCCCCCGATAGTCCTAACCTTCAATGTTCCAATGCGAAACCGCAGCAATGTCTCAGGCGCCCTAAAATACTTATTTATTTGATCATTTCAAGCAATCTCAGGATTTGGAACAAATGCTAATATGTAACTTGTTCGCAACAAGGCGTAAAACCCACAAGACTCTCATGCGCAAAGAGAAAAGTTGGAACTTCTCCTTCGATGTCATTCCTCTTCCAGGAATTTGAGAGATTCACAAAGTCCCTTGGTACGGAACATTGTAGCTGAAATTAAGAGGCGTGTCCCAAGAAGCTTGGAAGCTGGCCAGTCTCCTCCTCCAAAATTATTTCCACCACCAACCAGCCTAGGCATCTGAGACCTTTTCAGCCACCCGACTCGAGACCACACGTTGCTTGGAACTTTGCACGCCTGATACACATCAATGAGCAAATGTCGTAATCGCATAGCTTTCGTACTTGCAAGCGATGCAGGAGGACGTCGAGATCAAACCCCGAAACGTTATGTCCAACTAGCACGTCAGGGTCTAGTTGATGAAGCTTGATCATCAGACAATTCAATAGGGCACGCTCACTGCAGGAAACAAAGAAATCAGGATAAGTGGCCCACGTTGCCAAGTTTACCTCCCCTCACAGCTCAAAACGCTGCACCTGCTCTTGTTATTGATGTGTGATACCTCAGAAGAAAATCCCATCGGATATACTCCGCCATCGAGCTTGCGGACGATGCTAAAATGTTCTAGCATCTCTTGCTTGTTCCACTCGGACTGCGGCATGGGTGGATCTACCTGCAGAAAAACTATGTCACAAGTTCATCACAAAATCAAATGTGACAAGTATACCTTCACGCGCTCGCAAAACACTACCGATGCAGAGACAATCTCATTTAGATTTTGTTTCTGATTGACTACCGTCTTCAGACAGATGATAGCAACAATCAGCCTCGGGATCTCAGACACAGGTTTCAAAGTTGATATATTAGCTACGTCTTTCGGAGAATCCACGGAAACCTCCACTTTACACCAGCTGATCTGAAACAACAAGATAGTGTCAAGATAATCTGTCTTTCGTCATTACCAACCTGAGAAGAGCAATACACTGGTGAAGTGCGCTCCTCTCAGATCACCCGGAAGCGTCGGATCCTACGGGATACGAAACTAGCTAATTAAAACTAAATGGAAAGCAAACCTTGAAGGGATAACCTAAATTTTAAATAATAATGAGCTCCAGTCCATTCTGTCGAATGCATATGGAGAAAAGAAAATATTTGTGATTTGAAGATATTGAACTATGTTATACCTTCACAGGTATCATGCTAAACTTCGAAACGTTGAGCTCCATCAACTTTTCTGAGAGCACTTTTATAACCAAGGAAGGCACGATTCGAGTTCGGGATGTTGATGTTGGAGGCTGCTCATGAGAACGACATCGAGCAAGAGTGGGGAAAAGTCCAATGCTAGTGTAGCTCCAACCATTCTTCTCAATCGCTGTCGAATCTCAAAGGAATGTCCCCAAATGAGGCTTGACACAAGTGATCCAGGCCAGGCCAGGCCACAGCAACGGCTAGCGCATGGATCTCGAACGGATCGGCATTGATAGCTGCCAAGAGAAATAACTGGATGCTCGCCATCGAGAAAAAGAGTAACAAGGGCAAATGCCACGATCGCAATCTTCCATGAGAAAGAACTGGCAGTGGCAGCGGCAGTGAGCAAGATCAAGAGCTTGGAGGAGATGGAGGTGCACCCTAGATTGTTGCGTGCGCCCTAAGTTGTTGTTACAAACACAAGCTGTGATCCCGACAACCACGGCCGGGATCATGGCCCATGTTCGTAACAGTATATACTGTTCATGAACATGGCCGTGGGAACACGACCCATGGCTGTGTTCATGAAACACAGTGAACACAACCAGGATCCCGGCCGTGTTCATAACTATGAGATTCAAGGTCGTCCATAGCATTGGAATATCACCCAGCGATCCAAGGATTGTGCCAGAGAGTGAATTGTTGCTGAGATTCAGTGAGATGAGGTGGCCAAGTGATGCCAAGCAATTCATATAGACAACTAGTGCACTGTCCATGACTGTTGATTCGCGGCTGGGTTGCCTTGGCCGTGGACCTGTCCACCACTGCACTCTTAGACTTGCTTCACTTGGCGCTTCCAGGGCCTCTAGAGCTAGGGGACCTCTTCCATGTATAATTGATCCATAATTGCAAAGCTTCATGGATGCTTGAAGGGTCTTCGATGTGATAATGGGGTGTCTCGGCCTGGAGAGTTTAGGACCACAATAGATCTTTCAAGCAAGTAGATATTGAAGATCTCTAGGCCTGTTGCAATTCCACGTACATGAGCACTAAATGAACTTAGCAACGGCAAAGTAAGAATGGAGTTGTGGAGTTGGAGATGGTTCTCTTTTATAAAATAGTTATCCAAAAGAATCTGCTCTGGACAAGAATGCTAAAATACCACTTAATTGAAAAGGAAGTATCTAACAACAGTTGCAAAGGCACTAGCAAGAGCACTAACTTCCACCCAATGAGTCAAGTAGTCAGAAGCAATAATAACATACTCATTGCCAACAGTCGACCGTAGAAAATGTCTCATAAGAACAAATGCCACTAACTCAAATGGACGGGAAACTGCAATTGACTTTAACCGTCCTTCCACAGCATGAGGGGGAGTATTACGAGCTTGGCACCAAACACAGCTATGCACATATTAGATAATATCACGTTGCATCTCCGGCCAATAGAAAGACCTGTATAGCTTCTCGGTTACACGACGATATCCTATATACCCACGTAGAACATGGTAGGCATAAAGAAACAGCGGAATAAAGACAAAAGGCACCACCAGCCGTAAATGATCATCAGAATCTGTCCCCACAAAATAAAGAAGGCCATCTTCAAGACGATATTGAGAATGTAAATGCTAGAAAAGCAAGTCATTATCAAGTGATGCAAGATTCTCAAACATATATCGAAGCCTTCGAATCCACGACTCAATCTTCTAAGCCTCGCGAACCTCATCAAGAGAAGGTAAATCTTGCTTTGTGCCTTGTGGACACTGAATGTTAAGCACAGCAACTGCCGACGGCACAAAATCCTCGTTTAAAAAATCCACAGATGCTGAAACAACAGGCTCGTCAGAAACATGAGAAGAGAGTGGAGAAGGAAAAGGAGCTCGAGAAAAGGCATTAGTATCAACCATAGAACTCCCTGGGCAATGAACAACATTAAAATCATATATTTGAAGCTTCAAAGCTGTAGCACACGTGGTTTTGACCCTTTATCCTATCCCAATGCCAAGACCAGTACGCAAAACAAAGCCAAACGGAGTCTGGCGCTATTTCGGCATACCAGTGGCCTAACGCAAGGACATGGGTACTCCACCAGTTAGCATTGAGTGGAACTTAGGCTTAGACCCAAGCCAGATGCAGAACAAGGACAGCCACGCAAGCGGGAGTTAGACTATGCCTCAGGTTAGTTAGCCATGCCCAACCTACTCACTATCCCTACTATACATTTGGAGCCCCCCCCCGGCCCCCCCCCCCCTTGAGGAAAACATGCTTTGGGCTTTCACCCCAAGCCTCCCTTAGTATCAGGAGTTAGTCTTTGGGACAAGCTCGAAACTTACTAAATATGGAATGTCCCTAAATTACGAATTTGGACATGAGACGAACACCATTGTGTTCAGGCCGATCTCTACATTCCGTAGATATGCTAAATGAGCGAATCTAGACACTTTCCATAAATAGCATTTAGGACCGAATTGAGACTAACGCTAAGGGCATGATAGCGAGGGTGTTTGGCAGACACAGTAAACTATCATCTAGCGAATATTGAGGGACCAAGCTCAATATCGCGGGGGTTCCCAACACTAGCAAGTGCAAGTCAACGAATAAGTTTCTCTAACCAGGTCAAGTATGCTTGACTAAATAGACACTTAGGAATTCCTTCCTTATGCTCATCTGGTCAAGTGCACACGCGAAGACCAGTTTCTCAACTAGCTTAGGCGGAGACTGATAACGGGCCTAGCAATACCGACCTCCTGCCATCGTGGCAGTAAGGTAAGAGTGTCTGTGAGGACTAGTTGATAGGTAATTTTCGATACCCGAAGTCATATTCGCGACAAAAGCCCATCAAGCAGTATGACCAACCAGGTTCTTCCACTTCAATAATGAAGTAACAGCAACATGGTCACCTTCAAGTAACATCTGAGAACCATATAGATATGCATGAAGTTTCTCGAAACCCTAGATTGCTGCTAAACACTCCTTCTTTATCGTGGAGTAGTTCATCTCCGCTGGTTGTAATATATGGCTTATATATGCAATAGGATGGTGCTAACCAGACACACTCGAACTCTCTTGCATTAACACACCTCCAAGATCAATGTCAGAAGCATCCACGCGCAAAATAAAAAGTTGAGTGTAGTCAGGATATGCCAAAACTGGAGGAGTCGTCAATAGCTCTTTGAGATCCACGAATGCCCGCTCATAATCAGAAGACTAGATGAAAAATGACGTTGATGACTTCAGCAACGCTTGCAACGGTGCAATGTGATTGGAAAGATGATCCACAAAACAACCGAGATATTGCACTTTGCCCAAGAAGCACTACACATCATTCACACACTTCAGAGTAGGGAATTTTAGAACAGCCACAAGTTTGTTAGGATCAACTTGGAAACCCTCACGAAAAATACAGTACCTAAGATAAGTTGTGTCCTTGGATCCAAACACACACTTCGACCGCTTCAGCTTTAAACTAACGTCATGTAGCCAATTTAACACTTTACAAACATCACAAATGTGCTCCTCCCACGTCCCCTCCGAGTGGATCAAGACATCATCAATGAAATCAGCAGTCACCTCCAGCATATCGCAAAGAATTTTGTCCATCATCCGTTTGACAGTTACTAGAAC